ATATGTTTGGAGTTCCAATCGCCTCCTGCAATGAAGCGATTGCCTAGACTTGAGAAGTAGTGGGAGAACAGGTTAGAGTTTATTCGATGTTTTGGAGGGCAATAAACAGCTGAGACATTGAAATATCCACATCTGTCTTGTATTCCAACTGTAGTAGCCTGTATTTGCTCCGTTCTATATTCAGGTAATAGATGGTGTTTAATACTATTGCGAATAATTATAGCTGATCCCGCATGACCTGTACCATCGGGATGGTTTGTAGTGTAAGTCAAGAACCCTTTGATTTTGACATTAGATTTGTCTGTGCAGTGAGCCTCAGATATCAAGACTATGTCCAGTTTGTGCTCAACCATCAGTAACTCGAGTTCATCTTTGTTGGGTGAGAGTCCATTTATGTTCCATGTCGCCAGTCTTAACCTAAGGCCTGTTAACCTTGTAGTTTGGTTATGAGCGTAGTTATGAGGCTCATTAGAGTACTCATTTGTTGTAGGATAAGGTCAAATTTTTCATTTTGTTTGTTGAGGATACTTTCTAATACCGCTATATTTTGGCTTACATTTGGTGTGGTATGTTCTGTGGTAGCTTTGTTTGGTTCGTTTCTAGTAGCTTTGGCATATGAATATGGTTCTTTTCCTTGCTCATAGGTGGGTAATTGTTGAACAGTGTTTTTCGAAAGGTTTGTTTCGGCAGTGGTGTCTTTTACAATAGCATGTCTATCGGTTCTACGGTGACCATATTTATTAATTTTCCTAGCAAGTATTTCTCTATACACCTCGCAGCCTTTATAGTTTGCCGGGTGGGAACCTTGGCACAATGCACATTGAGCTGGTGTATTTCTATCCCGTTTAGGGCAGTCAGAGGTTTTGTGTGCCTGGGCGCATTTCACACAGCGGAATGGTCTCATACAGTAATTTTTGGTGTGCCCATATTGTTGACACCGCTGGCACTGTACAATAATATTTTTCTTCTTGGGATCCTCTATGGTTACTGATTGGTGGTAAATGTATTTGATTTCTTTGGCTGCTTTGTTGTTCTCGCTAGGTAATAGATTTACAAAAAAGGTTGAGGTCGGTTTTTTCTCAGGACCATATCTGGAGTTTATGATTTCGCCGACGACTGTATTTCCGGTCTTTTCGATTTCTTCTTTTATCTCAATTTTGGGTGTTGTGTGATGGAGTTTCCGAATGACTATACGGCAGTATCTTTCTTCTTTTTTTCTGAATGTATGTCCTATTAGTCCATTTTCGCGGAATTTGGTGATGATTTTTTTGTAGACTTCCATATCTTGTATGTTGATTCTTAGTTGGTTTCTATTTGTGATCCTATATGTGTATGAGCTTTTCTCTGCAATACTTTCCATGAGTTCAGTCAATTTGTTGACGTCTTCTATACCATACAATATAATGGGAGGGGGTTTGCTGGTCTTTTTTTCTACTGGTTTTTCAGACTCAGTAGTCTCTTCAGTCAGGTCAATTGGTAATTGACTGAACATGTTGTTGGTGGTTATGTTCTCAGGGGAATCGCTGACTTTTTTCCGTTTCGGATTTCTAGAGCCTGGTACTTTCTGCCAAGGAGGGGGAAACGTAGTGCCTTGCTCGCTTGGAAGATCTGTAGTGGCCGTGCATTTCGGTGGTTCTGACACATTTTGTACATTTTCTGTGCTCAAGCTTCCCAAGGAGCTGCTTCTAGGCCTTGTAACAAACAGGCCGCGATGAAACGCTTGCTGTATAAGTTTTTTGCTGCCAGTAGTATTTACTGTAATGGAAGCCTGGTCGCCTACTTCCATTAAGTCTTCGGTAGCTAACTTCTCACTCTCTGGCCCGGGTACCAGAGAGCGCCGGGGGTTAGCCGGATCGCATGACTTACAATACTTCTCATTATTAGACATTTCCATAGATAAGGGGTTGGGAGAAAATACTCATACTACTTTCCCGAGGTAGTATTGCAGCAATTTTAGGGGGCATATAAATTCCCTAGGCCTGCTGTAGCCTAAATTGGTTTTTTTTTTTTTTTTGTTTGTTCGCTGCCAGTGACTCAGCGTTGTTGCTCGTTTAGCACCACCCAGGGGACGCGTGTAGGGTGGGCCTAGGACAGGTGGTAATTCCTACGGACGTGAGCAACTCCATCCCCCATTCTAAATATGCATAAATTTTTTCGGTTTTCGTTTTTCTCATTAACAGCATAGAGTTCGAGATTGTGGCCAGTGCTTGGTAACATACTAATACATTTATAGGGTTTTCAAAATTCTTAATTAATTACATTACAATATTAGATAATTACCTTGGTGTTTAATTCCATTAATGCTTTAAAACTCTTTTTGTCATTGGTGCCAAACAAATGTGCAGACAGTACAAAAAGGCCATTAACTTTGATACATTTGTACAGATTGCTTACATTGGGCTGTTCCTGTACAAGTTTGTCCAAATTTGTAATTGCTTGTTTTATGTACTTAGTAAATTCTGCAGCTACCAATGCACAATTCTTGTCAACCAAACTACCTCTTAATACAGTCAAGTTTTGAAGGCTTCTGTGTACAATGTCATCATTCATAATTTTACTTGTCACAGTATTTAAAGCTCCCACTATAGCCTTGAACTTATCCTCCAACAAGTCCAGGTTTTCTGGTGCATGGCTGAAGGATTTTATAGTTTTGCAATATTTATTCCAATTTGTTACTAGAGATGTGTTAGATATTAACACTTCCAACAAAACAAGGATGGTAAATAATTCTCCAATGTGATTTATAATGTAGTGCAGTTGAATTCCATCTGAAATATGTATCAAAATGCATTATCAATTTCTTCTAGCAATATGAAGTTATTTCTGTCATAAAATATCAAGGAACATACTAATGTTTATGGCACTTTTAGTAAATATAGCAAAGACTTGACTGCACAGATTACGAAGCACATCATCACAGCGGCTGGTGAAGGCACTTAGTGCACAAATTGATTCCATTTGTTTACTAATATCATTGTTATTGTATTCCTCATATACTGATAAAAACTGAAATGCCTGAAATAAAATATTATCAATATTAATATCATTAAGTAAAGAGGATAAAGAAGATAATAATGTTTAGTTTTGTAAAAATACTGGGCTTGTTTACTCTTTATGTGGTTAAAATATAAACCTGATTTTATGATCAGTCGCAAAAAAAATACATTTTATTGCAATAATATTATAATCCAAATAATAAGTATTGAGATGGAAAGGGAGAAAAAAAATTGTACTCACTTTTCAAGTGCTTCTTTTTTAAGAGCAACAACTTCAGTGCACAAGGACGTAAGCACACTCAATACTTTGGTCATCAAAGTGTTATCAGATGATACCAGTTCTGTTATAGGAATAAGTTCACCAGTTGTCATTGCCACTTGTATTGGTAAATAAGTTCTGTTCTCTTCCCAGAATTCATCTTTTGTTGTAGACACAAGATCATGAAATTGTGATTTGAAAAACTGTCCATATCTTTTAAGTAACCACGTTCCAGCTTCCTTTTCTATATCAGTTCTCATTGTGAAAATGTGTTTTTTGATTACTAAAACATTCAAATAATAGGTATAGATATTTATGCAGATCATGCATACATTACTTCATCTTAATCTTGTTTATAAAGAAATATTTGGGGATATGTACCTGTACATCAATTTAGATGATAATTTTTTTCGTTATAAAACTTGTTCTGCTAATTTACTTACTTTTGTGATTACACTTATTATTTACACTTCAACTTGTTGAGTATGTACTTGCATTATCAGTTTACATATTTGTAGTAAACTTCAGGGACGAAATAATATTTTTTACATTATTTTTAACGATAAGAGTTTAATTTTTCTAATAAAATTACACCATCTAGCCCACACCACCAAAGAGTATAATATGGTATAATATTAAGTTTTTATACAAATCGAAACTCTCAAAAAATTGAATGTACTAAGTTCCGCCTTTAATTACATGCTCTGTGCAAATGTCACGAATGAATGTCATTTTTGAAGACTTAGTTGAAGTTTCTATATAAAGCGTGAAATGGAACGAATTGCCAACACATGTTGCCAATTTCGCTTCACCAAAACAATACTTCAGGTTTGCTAAATGAATAAAAGCCATGGGATAATTTGAGATAATAGTTTAATCCAAAATAAATAACATAACATCACGCCTTTTTTTTTTTTTTTTTTTTTTTTTATCCCCGAAGGGGTAGGCAGAGGTGCACATTTCGGCACTTAATGCCACTAATGTTACACCCACTTTTCACTATTTATGTTATAAGTCCCATGTAATAGGGGGTGAGCCTATTGCCATATACCGGGCACATTTCCAGACTCCGTGCTACTACTGAGATTTTTGAAAAACCCAGTAATACTTTGCCCGACCCGGGAACCCGAGACCCCTTGCCCGGCAGTCGCACTTGCGACCACTCGGCCAACGAGGCAGGCAACGAGGCAAAATAAATAGTTTAATTAAATTTCTTACAAAAGCTGGACGGCCAGAAAAATATTTTCAATTGTATAATGACGTTTACATTGTATTCTTTACTCGATTAAAATGTGTGTAGCGGGCCACATGAAAGCAAGCCACGGGCCGCATGCGGCCCGCGGGATTTTGTTTGGACAGCTCTGGTTTAATCATTCAAGAATAATGATTATATCACATCAACGGTCTATGCGTGGCCACTGTTGCCCAAGGCCTCGTCTCATGAGGAGGTTTGAGCACTGATCACCACGCTTGCGATGTAAAACTTAAATCATTATCGACGAAGGCTTTTTGCACGTGAAAGTATTGTGTACCTATTCATCATTCTACTGGTTTTACCACATATTTTATTTTCTCTTTTCTATAAGAGACACTACTTAAAATTATTACATTACATATGAGTGACATCACATCTTCCATTGTAGCAGGGGAAAAATAAATTAAGGGAGTCACTAAATAAAACCGCAATTTTAAATCTGTAAAATAGATAAACATTTATTTTAATTACAGCACTGAAACATTCACACTTATTGCTTTTTAAAGCTTTTTAATATTGGATAAATGTTATCAAATGCTTCATATATTTCTTCTCTTACTTTAGCTCCAGTTAACACAACCTTACCAGAAACAAAAATCAATAATACTATTCTAGGTTTAACCATTCTATAAATAAGTCCAGGAAATAATTCAGGTTCATATGAACTGAACTGTCCATGAGTCAGTACTAAGCCTTCGAGGCGAATTGGAAACTTAACATCACAACTTCCAACCATATTCTGGATCTTAAAGTCTAAAAACTTAGCCTGAAAATAAAAAAATATCATCAGTTATTTTATAAAACCTTACAAATGCAGTTTTAGTTGTGGGTATGAATTAGTTAATTTAGTACCACTTTGAATGAGTAATTAATTAAATGTTTACTTACCGTAAAGCCTAGTTTCTGAATAATTCTAGCATATTTTCTAGCAGCCAAACGTGAATCTTCTTCACTTTTGGCCCCTGTGCAAACCATCTTTCCTGATGAAAATATCAGTGCTGTAGTTCGAGGTTCTCTTATTCTCATAATTACTGCAGCAAATCTCTTTGGGTTATATTCTGCATTTCTGGCATGTAGGGCAATTTTTTTCAGGTCTAATTTACAATTGAGGTTCACGGTGGAGACAATATTTCTGAAAAAAAGTAAAATAGTTTTAATTAAATTTAGAGAATGAGGTCTATGGTAATTTAGATAACAATATTTATTTATTAAATGACTAGCTTCTGCCCGTGACTTCGTACGCGTAATCCCATTTTTTCCCGCCCCCTTCGTGATATTCGGTAAAAAGTAAAAAAAAAAATTTGGTGAAAAAGTATCCTATGTCGATCTCCTGGCTCTAATCTACCTCCCAACCAATTTTCAGCCAAATCTATACTGCCGTTCTTGAGTTATAAGTGGTGTAACTAACACGACTTTCTTTTATATAAATAGATTTCAAATTGGATTTCTATTCCATTCAAAGTATTGGCTATGTGTACTTACTGTAACTGTGGTACAATGCCAGGGTCAGCTGAGTGAGGTGTCATGGGAGTCATTGGTGCTGGACTTGCCTGGCTTAACATTTGTTGACCAGCCAAGCTGCCACTTGTTATCATAGGCGACATTAAGTTTTGCTGAAAATAATAAATACACCTTAACTCGTCGAGTACCGGTTTTATAGACACAATTAAACAACAATAGGTCGCGGTCACCGGTGACCGCTTGGTCTTTGACAGTTTAAGTCAACAATTATAATTTGTACAAAAGGCATAAAAACTTCTGATATTTGCTAATAAGTTTCTGATATTAATAAAATACCATGCTAATGTTTTGTATTATAAGTGGATTAAATAGATATAGTTACTGGTGTTTGTGGCTGCATCATCTGTTGGGGTGTAGCATAGCTGGCAGCCGGTGCGTAGGTATGAACTGATCTTTGAGGAGTCCCCATTAGTGAGGCGCCAAACCCGACCAGCGGAGAGGAACCCATGGCGGCAAGGGCATGTTGTTGTTGCTGCTGTTGGTGCTGATGCTGCTGTTGCATAGCATTCGGCAAAATTTGTTGATCCTCCTCTGGTTGATGCAACGGAGTATCAATACCAGGTATATTGTACGGACTCGGTAGCATTTGATCCATTTTGAAGTTTGTTTTACACTGGTTAGTCAATTATAGTGATATCTATGTCTTTTACACTTATTTTTAACCACACTTATCTTAAATTAATAATGTAAAGTTAAATTGTAAGTCTGTATTATTATCAAATATAATGTTATTTAGCTTTCATTTTATGTATTTATGTTTGGAGAATAATGTTCTCCCGTCCCCACCGCCATAAAACTTTGGAAAACGAAGTCGAAGTTTGTCAATGTCAATTAATGGGAAAAGTCAACGAATCATAGATAGACTCTATGATCATAGAAGTATATATGTGACGTTTATCTATTTTTGTTGAATTAAGATATAGAAAATGCATAGTTACGAGAGAATATAGTTCTCGATAGAAACATGACTATAATTTTAACGTAGGTATTCATTTTCTGCCCTTGAACAATAGACTAACCATAACTTGCAAGTCTATCAAGTGTCTATAGGTTGAGGTTGTCAATGGTCAATATTTATTGTCACTTATGTCACTTTTTAGTCACTCAAATGTCATTTCTTTTTAACGCCACGCTTACCTTGATGGAATTGTAATTAAACTGTGTATTTTGAAACGAGTACTGAAATTAATAATACAAGCCTTACAATGGCTGAAACAATGAAGCAAACTGTTGCCACTATATTAAAAAGTATTGAAAGGTAAACAACCATTCGCATTATTGGTTTTGGTTAAGGTTATGTATTTTTTGAAGTGGCCACTACCAGGTTTGTGTAAGTTACAAACCACATTTGAATTTGCTAAACTAATTTCTCACTACTATAGAGTTAGAACAACTACTCCCTTAAAACACAAAATTGTTAATCATCTTTTACTGCAGGTTTGAATTTATGTATAATTTGTATTTGTAGATACAACCCTGCGAATCTTCAAACTTTAGAGAGGTATGTTGAAATGCAGTCCCGTGAGAATACTTATGATTTAGAGGCAAATCTGGCAGTTTTAAAACTGTACCAATTTAATCCAGAGAAGTTCAATGCAGATATCACATGCCAAATTCTGTTGAAAGCTTTGACTAATTTCCCACACACAGATTTTACTCTGTGCAAATGTCTGCTTTTGGAGTCTGTTGTAAGTAAATTTAATATTTTTTTACTTCTTTGTAATAGTTTGTTGATTGTAATTAAATATTTTTATTTTAAATATATCAGGTTTAAATAAAAAGGATATCAAACAAATGTAGTAAATGGGATTTCAAGTAAACTTGTTGCGTCATAGATCTAATATGTAACCATTACATTTCTAGGTGGAAAATGAGACAATTTCACAGATCAAATATTTGGCTGATATTTTAGAGCAATGTGACTTTGCTCAGTTTTGGAACCGAGTACACCAGATGCCAGAACTCTGCAACCGTATCAGTGGGTTCCATGACTCTATCAGAAAGTTTGTGTGCCATGTTGTTGGCATTACATTTCAGACCATTGACAAGAACAACCTTGCTAACTTGTTGGGAGGCATAGATGGTCAGTATCTTATAAATTATTATAAACCTACTTATATTTTTTTTTAGCAAAAACATAGGCTTAAGTTTCTGTAATTGAATTAAAATGTTTGACGAATACACCCAATTATGCAAATTTGTTATATTTTATTTATTACATGATATCTTTCACATTTGTGCACCATTAGAAAATGGATACTCATGTTTTATAATTTTATTTTAGATGTGACATTGAAACACTGGGTGAAAAAGTATGGCTGGAGAGATGATGGTAACTTGATCTTCATTGCTAACCAGGATGAAAACATTAAGACTAAGAATATTACTGAGAAGATTGAATTCGACCATCTAGCTCCATTGATGGCTCTGTTGTAAATCTTATGCAACTTTGTATTGAATAAATTTTAAAATACAGATGTTGTGTCATTTCTTGCTCTGATTGCTTCCATCACAAACTATGTTATGTTTATTATTCACTTTTTGTGCAATTGTCAACTTGATTTACTTTCAGCTATTCTTGTATCAAGAATATATAAAAAAAAGTTACAGTAGGTACTTTGTATCAAGTATGTAGTTATAAAGAGTTTTATGCATTTTTTTTTAGAATTAGATATCATATCATCTAATTATGTTGGTTTAACTCGTCGAGTACCGGTTTTATAGACACAATTAAAGAACAATAGGTCGCGGTCACCGGTGACCGCTTGGTGTTTGACAGATTAAAATGAGAAATAAATTATAATTTTAATTAAATTATTTATTCTTACGTAATTTTTTTATATACAATGACTTGAAAAATATAACAATAAACAAAAACGCAATCAAACAAATAATAAACTGGGTAGGTATTTTCTTTACGATTTCTTTGCATGACTGTAACCATGTTCCTTTCCGCCAGCGTGTCCGCCCTTCTTTCCGTGGTCGTGATGATGTGCAAAATGCTCTTCGTGCCCATGATGACCCTTGTGTCCCTTGTGGTCTTCATCATAATGCCCTTTGTCATGATGTCCCTTCTTGCCGTGGTGTTTCTCGTGGTGTCCCTTTTCGTGATGACCGCCTTTTTTGTGGTGACCTCCCTTTTTGTCATGATGTCCGTGGAAGTCGCCGTGTTTGTGATGGTGTCCACCCTTGTGGAAGTCGTCGTAGAATTTGTGTTCCTTGTGATATTCGTCTTTATGGGATTTATGATGAAAACCAGTGGTCTTCGAACCCTTTTTGTGCCCCTTTTTGTGTCCAAATTTGCCGCCTTTGTGTCCGTGCGCGGCCTCGTGATGTTCACCATGATGATCGTGCTCATCGTGGTGTTTCTTTTTGTGTCCTCCGTGTTCGTCGTGATGTCCTTCGTGGTGGTGTTTCGCATGATGTCCATGTTCGCCTTTATCATGATGATGATGGGACTTGTATCCCTTATCGCCTTTATCTCCGTGTTCCTCATGGTGATGAGCATGGTGTTCATGCCCACCTCCTTGTTCGTGGTGGCTGTCTTTGGCCTTCTTGTGTTCAGTGCCGGCAATCGCTTGGTCCGCAGCTGCACTGCCAGCGGCTGAGAGGTCGCCTCCTGTGGTTGCTGCTAGTTGAGTGGCAGCGATAGCTGCGTCCTCTTTATCACCTTTTTGATTTGCTACATTACGCGCGTGTGTTAGTAGCACCGCGGAAAATAGTAGTATCAGGAATGAGAGCCTCATGACTGAAAAAAATAAGATATTAACTGTTAAAATTTTATACACCTATTTTTAATATACGTATAACTTGTGATAGATTTCCAAATTCTAGTGTTCTACTCACTTTGTTTGGCTCGACTAGAGACGTAGCCGTCACCAAAGCTACGTTAAGAGTGTCAAAACTGTTTCCGCACTTTGAATTTATAGATTAGATCGCTTTCATCTGATGTCGATTACAAAGTGGTGTTTGGTAATCATTGCTGCAGATTTCTGGACGACTGATTCGGCAGCGGCTGCGCTGCGGTGTCTGTGACGACATCACGTCATGGTTAAACTGAATTAGTTCCGATAGAGCGACAGCTAATTAGAGTATGTACCACTTTGGCTTATTGATTTACTATAATAACGAAACACGTTTGTTTTAAATTAACTTTCATTTATTTACAACGAGGTAATTCATATAGTAACATAGTATAATAAAAAACAATCTTATATTATCAGTGCTTGCCGTGGTGGAATCCCCAATGTTTGTGATCTTCGTGACCACCTTTCTTGCCGTGATCATGATGATGGTGGTGGTGTTCTTCGTGTCCGTGGTGGCCCTTATGTCCCTTATGGTCTTCATCGTAATGGTGTTTGTCATGATGTCCTTTCTTGCCATGATGCTCTTCGTGATGACCGGAGTGGTGGTGTCCGCCTTTCTTGTGATGTCCACCATGTTTCGTGATGCCCGTGGTGGTGGCCGTGCTTGTGATGCTTGCCTTCCTTGTGGTGGTCATCGTAGAAGTGGTGGTCTTTGTGGTACTCGTCTTTGTGGTATTTCTTGTGGTAGCCTTCAACTTCTTCGCCTTTATCGTGATGTTTCTTGTGATGATGTTTGCCGCCCTTGTGGTGGTGTCCATGCTCATGATGTTTGCCGTGGTGGTCGTGCTCATCCCAGTGTTTTTTGTGATGTCCTCCATGTTCGTGATGATGACCCGCATGGTGATGTTTACCGTGATGACCATGTTCTCCTTTATGATGATGATGATGTCCTTTGTGACCTTTGTGCCCCTTTTCTCCATGTTCATGGTGGTGATGTGAGTGGTGCTCCTTGCCTCCGCCTTCTTCGTGATGATGCCCGTGATGGCTGGCCGCGGCGACGAGGTCTCCCTGCTGCTCCTCTCGCCCAGAACAAGCTACTACGACACATGCTAGCACGGCTAGGGCGACTAGCGACCTCATTGTTATTGTTTAATACTACAATATTTCTTATGGATTGGGCTACTTGGACCGAACTGCCTTTGAACCGCCTGTGTCAGCATTTTATATCATTAGATTTGCGGGTTGCAGTCGGTGAAACCATCGACAAGGACGCCACGCCGGCGAGCTCGGAACGCGTTACGCCTTATTATTGCGACATGTCTAACTGTCTACGCAAAATAGTAAAAAAAAAGTAATTAAGTAATTCATAAACAATCATTGTAAGTGACTAAATGTTATACTGGCTTGTGTCTGTTTTGTATCATTTCTAAGTTTTAGATCAAAATTTTGTAGTATAAGTACCTACTTAGCATCTTACATTAGTGTACAAGATTAAAAAATCTCATAATATTCCTATTCGGCCCATTCCGCAATGCAAAGGTATGTACAGACTACATACGCAGGCTCTGCTGTCGCTATTCTCAGAAGCTCAGAAACAGGATAATCCAATTTGACCGATACGGTGAAGATTTCGTCTTGACGCCACGGTTGGTGCGGTGGCTGGGCAACCGGCTGACAGGCAACGTGTCGCGGGTTCGATTCCCGCACGGAGCAACTCTGTGTGATCCACAAATTGTTGTTCTGGGTTTGGGTGGCATGTGTATGCACAGGAAAAAATGCTAGTGTGGAGTAAAGTTTAAGAAAAATCTGATAAAATTATCCTATACCCCTTTTATTTAGTGTGGAAATCAAAACTGCATTTCATGACCATAATTCGCAATTGCATCATTGAACACATGAGAACTAGGTAGCCAGTGATTATAGTGGCCTACGTACAAAGTTAGGTACGTAGGTACCTTATATTTTAAAACAAGTGATTCTCAGTTCGTGATTTTCTCCTGTTTCCTGAAGACCAAACTCGGCGCGAACAAAGGTGTGTAAACTACACATAGAATTATTATTTCGTGTAAGAATCAACCTCGTCTCGTGACTCGATGACCTGCAGCTATTTATCCAACCAATGCTTCAATCATGTAATGCTTTAGCTATCTACTTATGTCAGAAAATGTGCTTATGATTTCTACAGCTTTCGAAAACAGTTCTGTTATACCTACCTAATTTCTAATGTTATCGCAAGACTGTCTTTCGGGTTTGATTCCCGGGTCGGAAAAAGTATTTGGTTCTGCTAAGTAGTTGCATGGAACAGGATGTGGTATCCAGTATATGGATATTATTGTGGTGATCGGCTCACCTTCTAATACCATTACATGACACTAGTGGCGTAGCGTATCTTGGCAGGGCCCCGTATAAAATATGTATGGGGGCCCTTATGAAGGGTAAAGATAAAAAAATGTACCTATATTATAACTTACGTAATAAATACTAAATTAATTATTATATTTTCGGCTTACTCACGTAATAATTTAACGAGGAACTCGACTAGTTTCAAGCCATGCTAGAGGCTCATATTCATGAGCAGCATTCCGCGACCCGCGACGCGGCGACTGTCGCTGCTACTGGCTGCTCGAGTCAGCGACGGTAAAACTAGTCGAGTTCCTTGTAAATAAATAATTATTACGTGAGTAAGCTGAAAAATAAATTTTTTTAGAAAAAGGTTAAGTATGCATAAAATAGTAATAATTTGTGTGAAAATTGGAAAATTTTCCAGGTAACCCTCTGCCCAAATTATCGGACTATGATTTAGTTTGGTTTTTCTTTGAACGCATGCTTTACGCGAGAAAAAGATTGACTAAAAATCGCGGGTTACTCACATGAATATACCGAGAAAAGCAATGTAGTTTCGAGCCATAGAGGGGCTCTTCCTCATGAGCAGCGTGTGCAGTCGCGCAGCGAGTAACCCGCAATTTTCAGTTAATTTATGTATCTCACGATAATTGTGAGAAAAATATGTTTATTTTGACTGTTGTCATTACTGGGAAGTTTTTATTAAGATTGGCTTACGCACGTTGCTGCCCTCTCAGTCCGGGGGCCCCGTATAATCGACACGGCAGATACGGCGCTAGCTACGCCCGGGCCCCTACATGACACGTATCTATAAGGTACACGACTGCCAATAATTGTGTGCTATGTGCACATCTATACATTTGAGGAAATTACGGCGTGAACTTAACTTCCCAGTTCCATTTGTTCTTAAGTGGGAATTGTTCCACTCGCATAAGACATTGATTTCAAAATTACTCGATCGCGATAATGCGTTAAAAATGTGAGACATGCCTTGAAAAGTTTTCATACGATTTCTAGGTCATAGTCGTTGTCGTCAATGTAAAAAAGTCAAAATAATTTATTTAAATTAGACAAGGGAGGAATGGCAATAAAAAATGTTTAGCGTGGCGTGATTCTCAAAATACGGGTTTGAAACCTGGCAAGTAGGTAGGTACCATGTGACTTACAAATAATAGGTATGTACGCACTTAACAGTACTTACATTTTAAGTTTATTTAGATATATTATGGTGGAGATAAAACTCCTGAGGAAACTTGGACTTATAATTTTCAATTATAGGTAATTGAA